TTCGTTAAGGTCCTCTAACATTTTTGTTGCAGACTCGCAGTTCTCGTGCACACAAATTTTCCTCATCTTCTAGAGTTATAATTCAAAATGTGAGTACGCAACGTACCTCTTATACGTTGTCTTGACCCAAAGGATGCAGTAAAAAGCGAAGAGGGACGGTCCTACGAGAATGAATGGAATGATGGTTAGACACTAGAGGGGTTGGAATATTTATGATCTGCTAATAAGACGCAGATGCAGACGGATGGGATCCGCCTAGTACATTGCAGCCCATTGGGCGGGCTGCAATGTGCTCTTGTACCCGACAAAAGCTGACTCGTCACGTGGTCGAGTATTGCAAGCAGAATTGTCCGGACCACGTGACCTGATCGTCCTGACCCGAGGCTACCTTCGTCAATTCAACCTGTAATATTCCCTCCTTTTTGTTTCTTTGTTGACTTGATTGAGGAAATGATTGATTGAGATGAAAAAGAGAGGGCAGAAGGGTTAATGCGGCACATAAAATGCACTTGTTGGCGGAGCATGGTTATTATTATATTAGATGAAAGTGCGCACTCCACCGCTCCCCAACTTTTTTGTTAGAAAAAAGTGGGGAAATTTTTGGCAATTATTGATGAAAATTTGACTTTTGGTGTTGAATTATCTGCAGGGCTCTATCATTTTGGCACTTTTAGGATCTATGGATGATTTGTGCAGCTGGTTCATGATGTTGGAAACTGGGCACTGATCGGTACATCCATGAACCAGGAAATTAAACAAGGGACTCTCGTTTATATTATCAAACCGGTTTCGAATTCTTTTTTATATTATCAACTCAGGGAAAAAGGAACAAATTCTTTGGCTAGCTATCTATAATTTTAAATCTTAATCCTTTACAAAAAGAATAATCTTAAAATAAACTAAGCTACTAATCGCATGTTCAACTCCTCACATACTACTTAAGATCCGTTTGGAGTTGCGGTACCTGATTAAAAAGTATTTTTTTTAATAAAAATGCTTATTATGTGTTTAAGTACTTTTAAATATATTGTTTGGAGATATAATTCTATAAGTACTAATTATACTGAATAGTATGTAATTTGAAAATTTTAAAATATATTTATTTCTTTATTTAGTTGATAATATAAGATAAAATGATTAAATTTAATATTTTTTTAAATCACCAAATTTGTGCTTTTAATACCAAAAAGTTTGGCTTCTAATTTTATAAAATGATATTAACAAAATGCTTCAAAAGTACTTTTTAACATTTAAAATTACATTTTTACTAAAAGCATCGCAACGCCAAATAAATGGGACCTTAGTAGCAGGCGACTTTTAAGTGTGCAAATAATGTGCTTAATTGGTTCTTATTCTACCAAAAAAAAAAAAAAAAAAGAAGAGAGAATTAGCAAATGATAATAACATATAAGCAATCACTAGGACCGTTCTAATGGGAGCTTTTAGAATCTTTTCACTAGATTCAGAATTTAAAATCATTCGACTAACAGTTGAAGGGGAAATTCTGATAGAAAATTCTTTTATACTAAAAAAAAAAAGTTTGAAATCATATGACCTTTTTCACATACATACGCCATAATTGTAAAAAATAATCCCGCAACAAATATACTCAAATTTCCTAGCGTTAAATGGAAAGGAAAAAATTGATAGATTAAAATTTTAAAAAAAAAATGAAGAAAGCAAGCTAAATCACCTAATAATTACGTTAGAAAAAAAAAAAAAAAACTTTCACATAGAGTGAAAATATATGTGCTTCTAGCATGAAACTATGAATATTGAAACAACCAGCAAAATTAAGCTAGCAAAAGTGAGGAGACTGGACTGCGCACTCAACAAAAAAAAAAAAAAAAAAAAAAAAATCAAGCCTCAGCTCTTGGATGTGGCTGTGGATTATGCGTAGGATGGTGAGATGTAGTCTCTTGATCCTCCTGGTTCATTTCTTGATCAGCTACTTCTACTCCCCTCGCTGCCACCGGGATGGCATCGCCGGAAGAGCTGCTACTGCGGTGTTCTGCCGCCAACATCCGTCGCGGCACCGGAGAATCGACACGGCCATCTACACAAGCGGAACACTTAGCTTCAACCCAGCTTTCGAAGTCATAGTGCGGCCCATGACCGAATACCCCCCGCCCGGAACACAGCCTACCTATCATAACAGCAAGCGCACCAAGTATACTTATCACCGCCAAAACCGCAATTACTGATCCAACTGACCCGTGACCCGAATGAGCTGCATAGGCTTGCTGCTGAGCAGCCACCACCATTGGCGGCGGTTGCTGTTGCACAAAAGGGTCTAATAGTGGTGGCGGAGTGGACATTCTGATGTGAGCACCCTGTGGCCTAGAAAGGATTACACAAGTGCTTAATTCGAGCGTCCAAGTCTAGAGTTTTTACAAAGCCGAGTTATTTTCTTTCTTTGTCTTTTTTACCGATTGAATATGAGTAAGAAACGGGGGAAAAATTGACCGAGGAACAAGTAATTCGAGGTGGTTTTGTTTAATCACAGAGGATTAGAAAAGGAAGAGGGCAAGAAAGGGGTGGAAGAAGAAAGGCAAGGTTTATAGGTGTAATGGGATTGTTGTTAACGGGACCTTTTCAATGAGAACTGTGCGAAACGGCTTTTGACAAAGATGGTACGGCGTCAACTTGACAAACGCCAAAAGAGAATTACCATCGTTCTATCAGCTGAGATGGAGATGGATATGCTGCACGCTGCGGTTTGCTTGGGTACGGGAATTTATTTTATTTTATTTTATTTTATTTTTTTGTGACATGAAGGTGTCTATTTTAGATTTATTCCTACTACTCTACGTTCGAAGGTAAAAAAAAAAGTAAAAATATTCAAAATAAATTTGAAAGGGACTGAACCGCTACTGATTCAAACGAATGTCTATGCGTTCGCAGGCAAACTTTTCAGAAAAATTCAGAATTTTTAGAATGCAATAAAATTTTGATCCTTTATATTTACATTCAAATAGAATTTTAAAGTTTTCTCGGTGACTGATTACTTTAGTAATCGTTGGATCTTGACTATGGGAATTGGGATGGTATATATTCGACCTTTAATGCCTGCTTTGAAATGAAAGCCAAGTCTCGGACAAATTGGGATTCGATCGATTCTCTTCTTTTCTCTGTTACTCTGCTCGTTCTCTGTTTTATTTCCCAGGTTTCGTAGTTTGGTTGGGACCACTGAGACTGTTGTAGTACCGCTTCGGACCTCAGGATTATGTTTCTCCCCAGCTGTAATTACTACCCTCGTCCCAAGTTGTCCCTCGTATTTCAAAATTTCGACCTTTTATAAATTATGACTCGACTCGATGGTGATGATAGTGAATTTATTTTTAAAATTATTCTTAAAAATTTAAATTTCAAATTTGAATGATAAATGCTAAGATAACTCATTGAAACATTCCAAGATAAAAAATAACTTTAATTTTAATAAGATAACAAATATTTTAAAACATTTCAAAATAAAAAACACGACCTTTTTTTTTTTTTCAGAGGGAAGGTGTAATTCATAATTAATGCAGTACATGGCAAATACAAAATGAAAAAGAGTCACCATCAGAGTCGGGGATATAATATATATATATATATATATATATTTTTTGTCAATAATCAAATCTTGTTCTTACTCTTGGTCTAACCTATACCAGAGAGGTGAGAAGGAGAGAATCTCACCTACGTACTAAAGGGATCCACTCTACTCGGTACACTTTGGTATCAAAAATCGAAGGATGTCATGCACCAGTGAAGTGCAGCTGCTTATACAGTCTCCAAATACTTAGTTCTGAAACCAACCCTCCCTTTCAGGTCATCAATGTTGTGTCCCCTAATGTAGTAAATGTCTAATGCAAAACAACTGGTTATTAAATCTGATTTCCTACTTGCTCTAGTATCCTAGTGAAGACAAGGGAAAAAAAAAGAGAGAGAGAGAGAGAGAAGCAAAAAGGACATTGCTCATGTAAATGTATGTGTTCTAAAATGGCATTAGTCACTAAACTTGCAAATACACACAGAGAGTACTCGTTCTCCTTACCATATTCTGGAATTGCTATGTAGGCTTGGTTGTCTGTTAAGGTATGAAGCCAATGAGAAAGCTTCAAAGGCGATAAATCAAAGAAAATTAGGATGATACGATATCCGAGAGATCAGTCAAGCGCTCAGGAATCGAAACGCCGGGGGGGGGGGGGGTTTGCGAGGCGGCCATATAGCCACTATGAATATACCCATGTCATGTATGTATAGCAAAATTTAAGGCATTATGCAGGAGTCTTCGTGCTTTTTTTTTAATCTTGAGCACAAAAAGTTTATGTATCATGTATGGCACAAGATTGCATGCACACTGAGAGAGAGAGAGAGAGAGAGATGCTCCTGTTTTATTAGTCAGATGGAGACAATAACAACAGAGACACCCATGAATCCAGAATATTGAACAGTACGAAGGTTTAGTCAGTCAGGATCAGTGGTCCGGGTCTGGCTAGGCATCATCTCGCACCGGGCTTTGCTACTTATTTCTGTTTTCTCATATCGGGTACCGGTTTTTTCTTGTCTGCTTTCTCTTGAATTTATATGCTTTCCACTCTTATTCTCTCTTTTCTGCAAATCACAAACTTCCAAACTTCAGTTCTGGACACTCACTGTGATAAATTTTGACCAAATTGTACGTATAGGTTCGTCTTGGAGACTTTGTTATGATTGAAAGAAACGAACTTTCGAGTTATGTTTTCGTTTTAGTAACCTCCCTTGCATGGCAATGAGAGCAGTGACTATGTAAGTAGTTCACATAAGTATTACTAACACAGCATCAAACCAACAGATTGGACACCTTAACCATAACAACACAGCATCATGGATTAAAAAATTAAGCACGACAAAGAAGCACGATGCAACTATAAAAATTAGCTAATAAAAGCGGAGAACTGGGGTAAGTTAGATATCTTCATCACTCTTCATTTTGGTTTTTTACGAAGAAAAAGTTGCATTAGTGCTTTATCAAGGGAAAGAAAAAGGTAATTATGTTGATTGCCGCTTTTAATGCTTCTTAGGGGTTAAGTTAATGTTACATCATAGATATCTATGGAAACAAGCCACTAATATTCTATCCTGTCGTTAAGAACATAATACTTATTGTTGCAGCCATCCACAACTAGAGCTTTAAAGTAGTAATAAGTTTCAATACAAGCAGACCTACTTGCCCTTTTCATTCCAGGCCTCTAGCATAATCTTTTAGTAGTAGTAGTTTACAGAACCACATTTCTTGCGGATTTGTCCGTCTTGGCCCGTGAGCACCCCAATATTTCCAAGCTTCACCATGGATGCTGCAAAATCTCTCGAGTAAAGATAGGGGTACGTGCTATAAAAGTTAACCATCTCTGCTGTTTTTGGATTCCCCATTAATGCTTGATCAGATTCCAGAAGCCCCGTGTTGGTCATCAGGTTTTTGTAATATGCATTATCGAATTTGTAAACCGTCTGGACATCCAGAGGAGCTAGCTTGCTATTTGATTCGTCTACATTTGGACAAGTGCCTTGCAGGGATGCAACCATTGAAGCATCCAATAGGGGATCAGGCTTACCGGACCCTTTGAAGTCAAACAGTCTCCTCTTGAATGTGAAACATTGAGCATAACCAAGAGTATGTGCTCCTGTGTGTACATATAGATCACAAAGAAACAATGAGCTTATCTAGATCAAGCATATAGAGGAATCAGAAAGCAATTGAGACATCATTCTTGAAAATCAGAATTGAGAGAAGCGGATCTAGTAATACTACCGGAGAGAACTACCACATCTCTTAAGTCGAGACCATTTGATGCAAACTTTGTAACAATGTTATCTAGAGACTCAAAAGGCGTTGGTAGCTGCTCATTTGCTGCTTTCGTACTTGCTGTTAATGCATCTCTGCGACCCAAGGAAACAGGCCAGAAAGGCCCTTCTGACTAAATAATGAATTAAAAAAAAGTGTATTGGGGAAACTTTAGTCAGTGGATGTGGAATGAGCATGCTGGACTTCGACTAAAACTTTGATCCTTACCAGAATGACAGCTTCTCTAGCTGCAAGAGCTAATATGTCAGCACATGATACAATTGACGGGCAAGCTCTTTCAACATCTGCTTTAATGCTCTCAATGACCTCAAATCCTCGAGCTGAATTTCGGTTCGGCAAAGCATTCTTCTCGCCTTTGAAATTTGGAGTATCATCAAGAAGCACTGAACCATCACAACCCTGTATAGAACATTCTGTTCTATCAGCACTAAGCAATCTATAACATTTCATGATGAAGTAGTCTTTGGCGTTTAAATGCACCGGACAACTATAAATTTCGTCATGTTGCAATTTGTCAAGTAAATCAAACTGAACTATTCCTTCTAACATAATCTGGACAATCAATTGCAAAACTCCATTGGATGTTTCCCTAATCCATGCACAAATGCAAGAGTCTTTAGGTGTGAAGACTAACATATCTTGTTCACCCAATTATTTTAGCTTGGTCAGACAACTAAAGAGAAATTGTTTGTATAACATGTTCTCATTGAACTAAAAACACTCTACTTTCAAATTGTAAATGCGTACTTTGTATTTCCTGGACTTTTTATTGTTCACTAGAAATTTTTAAGTTGCACTATTGAGCAACTCCAACCTACATAATTCTTTCCTTCGCGTTACTTCTAGTGGAAAACATACTTTCTGCCTATTTGGACTTTGAATGGATACCTTCTAAACTGATTGCAGAAGGAAAGGTGTTGTCTGCATGATTTCAGTATTTTTTTGTGGAGTCAAAGGATGGGAAATTGGAAATACAACATAAATTACAGGAATGCTGTTAGAAACGGGGCTGGAGAATTCTGTTACTGACACAAATAGGCAAAATGCTACTAGCTTTAGCACCAGCTAGAAAATGAACTATTAAGGACCTACTTGTAGAGGATTCTGTTAAGAGAAAAGTGCAGCTGATAAATAAAAACCACGGCCTTTTCTTGTTCTACTTTATGGGTAAAGAAAAAGAATTCTTCGCATGTAATAGCCGTAACCGCCAGTACATGGCACCAAGAATGGTTATCCCTCCTTCAAAATAAGATTGATCGGTTGCCACAAACTTGATCGAAACCGAACCATGAAAAGTATCCATAGACATAATCAGGTGCTTATGGCGAACCATGAAAAGCATGCATAGACATAATCAGGTGAAAATGATCTTATTTGTAATGGGAATTACATTCACGAAACAATCATGGAAATGCAAACGAAGCAGGGATGCAGCCATTCTGGTATCATTTCTCAGAGCTGCCCAAACACCCCAACGAACCATCATAGGCAAGTTAGGACACAAATCATCATAAAAGTTATAATCAAGTTGGCCATTAGCTAAGGGCTCAAACAAGAACATCATACAGAAGAAGATACCAAGGCAGGACAAGGTTTTACTGGCCATAGCTTTTGAATATCAGATATTTTGAGCAGACAGACAGTGGTGAGTGCATTAAGATGATGCTGCAGTTTATATAAGAGAAACAACGGCTATTGGAGTTTGATTATTGGTGGGAGGTTATGGAGTGGTCTTACCACTATGTCCTGACTGTCTAGTGGCCATGTAGCCTCAGTTTGTTGTTTAGTCAATATATTACTGAAGATAGGTGCACCATAATAACTTTCAATCAGATTTCGTCTATTGCAATTCATCAGCTGGAGAAGGATTAGATAATGCGAGGAAATTGCAAGCACTTCAAAGAAAAGAGGATATAGCAAGGCAGAGATTAAGGCTGAAGAAAATATTCTTCAAACACAGTGGAAAAAAATTTTTTTTTTTTTTTGGCAGTCAATACAAAAATTTTGGATTTTGGATGAGAAATTTGTCGAGAATAAACAAATTTCCAAGGTTAAAGTTAGAGGTGGCAAATCAACCCACTTAACTAGATTTACCCATACCCACCCATGAATAGATGGGTATGGGTATTTTAAATTTTTGTATATGGATATAAATGGGTTACCCAATAATACCCATTTATTTAATGGGTATTATTGGGTAACCCATCAAACCCAATTAACCCATTTAAAATTCTTTTCCCCCCAAGTCTCTTCTTTTCCCCTACCTTTTTTTTTTTCAAATTTTTCATTTTGTCATGATGTTAACATTATTATTATTATTATTATTATTTGTTGGTTTTATCTTATTATTTTATTTTTTCTTAGTTTGTTAACTTGCTCATTTTTTAGCATTACCAATTTATGATAAATTTTAGCTTATTTTCTTATCTTTATAAAATGAAATTTTAAATTTATATATGAAAAAATGTTAGGGGTTCAAAATTTTTGGATTAAGTTCTATATTAATTTTTATAGTACTTAATTCAAATTTTTATATTCGTATTATTCAATTATTAAATAATAGGTAATTTTGTGACATAGAGTATAAATGAAAAAAATTGGTAATTAAGTTTATTGAACATTATAAGTAAATATTTAAAACTAATGATGGGTACAAAGAGTGTTATAAATTGATAACTTAGTTTGCAAAAATGAATTTAAATGAGTTTGTAAAAAGTTAAAATAAATGAGTTATAAATGGGTAATTGGGTTACCCAATTCATTTTTTGACTTACCCATTTATACCCATTTAATTAAATGGGTATAAATGAGTCAACTCACTTATACCCATTACCCATTTTACCCAACCCAAACCCGCCTAAGTCACCCATTTTGACACCTCTAGTTAAAGTCAATGAAAGCGCGCGTGCTATTTTATGATCACATCACGTCATACAACCTTACCTCAAGCATAAGTATGTCTAAGAATGTGGGTGACTGTATCTCCATTGGGATCTGGTGTAATGTTTTTAGTCAGACAGTGAGTAAACATTTCCTGTCCTACAAATTAATCAGATAAGACCTTCCTCAATAAAGGATGATTTTTCCAAGTTCAAGGAAACTGACTAACCCTTAATGATAGATCCAGAGCCGTCATTAAGTCAATCGAGTCTTTATTCAATTAAGTAGGATAAGGTCGAGGGATTTATAGAGCTCCACTACTACACCAATAAAGGTGACAAAAAAGCCAGCAAGCAGGAGCAATGGATAAAGAATTCACCGCAGAAAAATGGCAATACAGTGTACAGTGCCGGGTTTTCTTGAAAGAAACTCCAGGTGTACGATTTTTGCTTAGTCTATATATCGCACTGAGATCATCAGGATTCTCAAGTGCTGTTTGTTAGTCGATAAAAAGGTAGAACTCAACTCAGTTAGAGAACTGGAATAATAAACATACCAAGTTTAAATCGTGTGTTGCAATGGTGTAGAGAACATCAGAAAACTGTCATACTGACACTGCAAGGATTAATCTTTTGCAAGCCAACGATAAAAGTAGATGGCAAAAACATGTACCAAAAAAAAAACAATAGTGCGATCAAAGGTTATGTGAGAAGGAACAAGACCAATACTTAATTCATCCACCACATGACAAGATATAAGAGGTCTTTTGGTGACCTACTTAGCTAAGGAATGATAATAATTCATACCGTACAATCAATATCAATTTAAATTTGCTATCTTCATGCATATTACGTGAAAAACTGTGTCAAGAATTTGATGAATAATTAACTGTAGGACTCTTATTAGAAAACTATAAAGCCCAGATGGCACATTGGGAAATCAAAAGAAGTTTAGATGAGAAGAAAACTATAAAGCCCAGATGGCAAATTGGGAAATCAAAAGAAGTTTAGATGAAAAACGATTCATTTTGCCCGTCAAGCCCCCATTGAAAGCAACCGGAAGTATATAGCAATAAAAGGCAAATGATATATTTCTGGCTAGTATAGAAAGCAGCATGTGCCATTCTGTGATACGAGAACAAAACTGAGAAACTTATATTTCTCAAAGATTAACAATAATGTTTTATGGAAACAAATTAAATACAATCTTTTATTCTCATAAAGAATAATAGAATGAACAACACAAACTTCTTCTTCTTCTTCTTCTTCTTTTTTTTTTAAATTTTTTGGCACAATTAGAGGGGGAGGGAATATCATTTTCTTAAGACACATATTTCCCAAACCAAGGGAAAGCTGAGATAAATAAAGCCTTGGTGCAGCTTGGTAATCATCTTGATTCTCGCATGCCATGATGTATTCGTGCAGCTGTGCTTATTGGTAGATGGCTGAACAGTCCTCGTACAATTGTTGATTGACTATATTTTCTTTAGCTCTCCAGCCAAAAAAAAAAAAAAATTTGCCAAACTTTTGTACACTTAGCTAAGAGTGGTAATGCTGCAAAATTGGGTAGAAAAAGCATCAATTACACCACAGCTTGACAAGTCTGGATGGGAACAGAGACACTGATCGGCTTCCCCCTGCCCATGGTAAAACCCCTGGTTCCGTCTGGCATTTTAGGACCCTTTGCGTTTTGCCTTGTCAATGGTGCCTCTCCAAGGATGAAGATGCCGTTATTCGACTGTGGTGACAAGGAGAGCAAGCCGCGCCCACTGTGACTACTGGTAAGACGGTGTCGAGGTTTGCCACGCCCTTTGTTCCATGCTTTCGTCTTTGATGCGCCTGAACTTTCATAACCCTTCACAAAAATTATCAAAGCTAAAAATCATAAGCTTTTGCACTGCCATTTGCTTCAAGAATAACAGTGCCCTGGTTGTTTTAGCATGCGCGGAGGACATTAAACCGCCAAGATGTTCTCGAAGAATGACTGTGATATAGTAATACATAATGTTGAAAGATGATTATGGACGCATTGGCTACGGCAAAGTGGCTTATGCAAGTATACTATTTTATGAACCGAGCTTTATGTTGAAGATGGGCATTCAGTTCAATTGCCAACAAGGTGTAAAAACTTCAGCGGTATAAGAAGAAGGGAACTAACGTTATTTTCTGGAGGTGAATCCGAGATAATTGGGCGAGGAGATAGTTCAGGTGATACTACGCTGGATCCTGGTGGTGTCTCATCGTCATCTAAAAGACCATCAAACTCTGACTTCTTGCTCTTCAGGACGGACTTTGGCTGCAAAAAGTCCCATTTATACAAGAAACCTCAAATTCATGTGGTAGGGGAAAAGAACACAAGAATTAGAGATGTGGTAGTCAAATAACCGGTTGATTAAACGTACCGATCGTCTTAGCAAGCACCTGACGCGTAGGCCTTTTCTCCAATTCTTTTGGTCATTGAGTTTTTCAACCTGACGAGATAAATCCCGGTGGTAAATGCTGCAAAATGAGCAAAATAGGACCCAAAAAAAATTTTCTAAAAAGGAAGAAAGACTACAACAGCAAGGTCAAAGTGAATTAACATACCGCTCTCTCAGCTGATTCACTATTCTCGAACTCTACTAACGCATGAAGCTTTCGAGACCCACACCAGAAAAAGCACAAGAGTCAAGCACATTGTTGAATGTCCAATCAAGAAGATTCATCTCTATTCAAACGAAACTGGATTTTTCTGTACCTTAGTACTGATAATAAAATCTCCCTTCGAACGAGTATTAGGATCCTGAGGATGGCATATCCGAATCGTTTTCACGCTGTGACGGAACAAAAATACATCTATTTAATGCCATTGCGCACTAGAGCTACGGTAATGTTGCCATAGATGAAAGGAAAGGAGGTTGAAAACCCACCATCCGGCCACATTAAAAATTTTCTCTATGTTTTGGTGGGAGTGATCATCAGGTAGATTTTCAGCTACAATAGTCCGCAGCTGTAATGACACAGAGGTGAACAAACCATTACAACCTTGATCCCAGGAAAAAACGGAAAAAAAAAAAAAGAAAATTGAGATATTAGAGACCCGAGAAAAACAGGTTCGTACGTACCTGCAGCTCCTCTTTCACTTTGTCGGTGAATGGCACCTTACGTTTAACCCTCTTACCGTCATTACTTACATCCTAGTTGCGGAACACGGAAATTGAAAGGCAGAAAAGTATTAATATACTCGATAAAGGATCAATTGAAAGGCAGTAGCTACTTTTATTGTGTTGTATTCGGGCAAAAGACAGAGCAATAACATAAAAGAACCAACCAGTTTTGTAGAGGCCCGAAGAGCCTGTGCCAGCAATTGATGATTACTACCAACGAAGGACTTAATTTTCTTGGTTGATGCAACATTAGCTATTGGAACTGTTGCAAATGGGCATTAATCAGAAAACGTATATATAGCTATTATATATAGTGTTAATACGGGATGCTACAAGCGGAGCAAAGTCTTATTTATTGA